GCCAAGCTCTAGTCCAACTTTCGGCCACATCGGCGTTTCCAAAAAGGCAGGGGGCGGCGGTGATTCGCCGTAGGCGTCTTCGATATGAGTATCAAGACTACTAAGAAGATAACTGACAATACGACGATCACTAGTACTACCAGCAACACGAACAAACACACGAATACGAATGAGACGAAACAGACGAAGACGACGGAGGAGGAGGAGGAGGATCAGGATTTGGGGGAGGAGGATGATGTTCCCTTGTCGGTTCCCCGCGGTTTTCCAGCCTCGGGATGCTTTCCAGCAGTTGCCCCTCGCCGAACGCGTTTCAGAGGTGCCCGAACCGTCCCCAACGGCCGCGGGAGAGTCGACTTGTGATCCGACTTGGGGGGCGCGTAATCGGGGGGGGGGGCGAGAACTGGGGGGGGGGTGCAGCGAGGGGTGCGGAGCAGGGGCCCTTTAGGGATCCTCAAAGGGGCCCTTCGAGGCCTCAAAGGGGGCCTAGAGGCTCCGAAAAGGGCACCTGTCTCCCCCCCCCCCTTCTATCCCCCCCCCATTCGTTGGCGCCCGACCGACAACCAAAGACAGCGTCAGGGGGGGAGAGGCTCAGGGGGGGGGGGTGCATCGACCCCCAATCTCACATTCATCGCCGACGGGTGCCCGATAGCCGACCGGTGCCCGATAGCCGACCCCGCCCCATGGCGTGTGGTTTCGTCATCGGGGGCCTATCGCCGATCTATCGGGGATGTATGGCCGATTCCAGGCCGATGTTCCCCGCCCCGAGCCAGTTCCCCCGCCACGTTGCCCCTGAGTCTAGGAGGAGGGGGAGGAGGAGGACGAGGAAGAGGAGGAGGAAGAAGAGGAGGAGGAAGAGGAGGAGGAGGAGGAAGAGGCTGATGCTGATGATGATGATGATGATGATGGTGATGATGATGCTGCTGCTGCTGATGATGATGATGATGAGGCTAGTGATGATGCTGTTGTTGATGATGATGATGATGATGATGATGATGATGATGATGATGATGCTGATACTGATGATGATCATGCTGATGCTGATGATGCTAATCATGATGCTGATGCTGCTGATGCTGATTGTGATGATGATGAGGCTGATGCTGATGATGATGATGCTGATAGCGATGATGATGCTGGTGGTGGTGGTGGTAATGATGAAGGTGGTGGTGGTGATGATGATGCTGATGATGATGCTGATGATGATGATGCTGATGATGATGATGAGGAGGATGCTGATGAGGATGCTGATGATGATGAGGAGGAGGATGAAGCTGATGATGCTGATGATGATGATGCTGATGCTGATGGCGATGATGATGCTGGTGGTGGTGGTGATGATGATGATGGTGGTGTTGGTGGTGGTGATGATGATGATGATGCTGATGATGACGATGCTGATGCTGATTGTGATGATGATGCTGCTGATGATGATGATGATGATGATACTGATGGTGATGATGATGATGCTGATGATGATGATGCTGAGGATCATGATGATGGTGGTGATGATGAAGAAGATGATGGTGCTGATGATGATGATGCTGATGATGAAGATGATGCTGATGATGATACTGCTGATGCTGCTGATGATGCTGCTGATGATGATGATGACGATGATATGATGATGATGATGATGATGCTGATGGTGGTGATGATGATGATGCTGATGATGATGATGATGGTGGTAATGATGATGATGATGATGATGATGATGATGATGATGATGATGATGATGATGATGATGATGATGATGATGATGCTGAATATGATGATGATGATGATGATGATGATGATGCTGATGCTGATGATGCTGATGATGATGAGGCGGATGAGGAGGAGGAGGAGGAGGCGGAGGAGGAGGAGACGGAGGAGGAGGCGGAGGAGGAGGAGGAGGAGGAGGAGGAGGAGGCTGATGATGATGATGCTGCTGCTGATGATGCTGATGATGATGATGACCATGATGATGATGATGATGATGATGATGATGATGATGATGATGATGATGATGATGTTGATGATGATGATGATGATGCTGATGCTGATGACGATGATGATGCTGATGATGATGATGATGATGATGCTGATGATGATGCTGATGCTGCTGCTGATGATGATGATGATGATTGAGATGATGATGATGATGATGATGATGATGGATGATGCTGATGCTGATGCTGATGATGATGATGATGATGATGATGATGCTGATGATGATGATGATGATGCTGATGATGCTGATGACGGATGATGATGATGCTGATGATGATGATGGATGATGATGATGATGAGACGATGATGATGATGATGAGGATATGATGGATGACGATGATGACGATGATGATGATGACGATGATGATGATGATGATGATGATGATGATGATGGTGGTGGTGTGGTGGTGGTGGGGTGGTGATGGTGGTGGTGGTGGTGGTGATGATGCTGATGATGAGGAGGAGGAGGAGGAGGGATGATGATGATAATGATGATGATGATGATGATGATGATGATGATGATGAGATGATGATGAGGAGGAGGAGGAGGAGGAGGAGGAGGAGGAGGAGGAGGAGGAGGAGGAGGAGGAGGAAGAGGAGGAGGAGTAGGAGGAGGAGGGGGGAGACGGAGGAGGAGCAGGAGGAGGAGGAGAAGGAGGTGGAGGAGGAGGAGGAGGAGGCGGAGGAGGAGGAGGAGGAGAATCGAGGGTTGAGTTTTTTGAGGTTTTTGGGGGGCTCTCGCGGCCCCCTCGTGCAGAATGGGCTCCAGAGTGCCGAGGAGGAGGAGGGGAGACGGCGGGGGAGAGGAATCGAGGGTTGAGGCGTTGGACGTTTTTGGGGGGCTCGCGGGGCGCCCCCGTGGCCACGGCTGGACCCACCTCGAGGTTCGTGCCAGAACGCACGCCAGGGCCTGCCTGGGTCTCCGAGCCCGAGGGGGGACAGCCAGGTCGCCAGCATCGCGAAGCACATCTCGACGGCCAGTCTTCCAAGTTCGGGCCTTTTGGATGTTCGTTTCGGACCCCTGGTCCATCGAACAGCTACCTGTGCAACAAAACACATGTCCCGGGAAATGGATCGACAGCTCGGGGGACCAATGACATGAACACATCATGATATCGGTTGTTTGGCATGGTTGGTCCTCATGCCTTGGTTGTTCCCGCCCGCGTACCAAAGTCTGGAAACCTTACGTCACCATCCGCATCGTTTCATGCAGAAGGTGTCTCACTCTCATGTCCTGGTGTTCGCAGTTCTCGACGCCGTTTTTATACTGCGAATTCTGCTCAGTGTGACTAGATCATTTTCGTATGCTGCTTGCTGCCTTCCCCGTTATTTCAAGCGCGTCTTTGTCCCTGCGCGTCGCCGCTCGTCTGCGTCCTCACCGTATTAAGGTTCGCTTTCCTCTCAGTACTCTCCTTTTCTTCGTCGTCCTCTCTGGGTCGGGACTTGCTCCTTTTCTTATTACTCTGACTCTCTTGCTCATCCTCTTCCTCGTGCCCCTGATTTCCCTAGTTTTCCCTGTCGTCCTGATACTACTCTTCCTCTTGTACTTCGTTCTTTTATGGCCAGTCACTTTTTGATAGAGCTTCGCTCCGCGGGTTCTGGCCAACCGCGCTGCGGCGCGGCAGGCTATCCACTTGCCAGTCCCCCTGCGTCAACGTCCCGAGCCTGTTGTAGCCTGCCGCCCCGCGGAACCGCGCGGCCCGCTATCCGCTCGCATGTCATAGCGTGTCGCCGCTGGGGCCGCTGCCGCGACACGCTAAGCAGGCGTTCCCAACTCGAGATGCCAGCAGCTGTAGGCTTTCGAGCGAGCTCAGACTGCCGAAGCGCCGAGCCGACCCGACCCCTCGGCCCCCTCGCCCGCCCTCCCTCCCGTGGGGGCATCCGCAGCGGTGGCGGCAGCTCCGCGGACGGCGCCCCTCCTCTTCGCCCGCCTGGCTCTAGACGTTGCCCCCTCGCCGTGCCGCTCCGGCCACGCTCGCGACTCGGAGCGGCGCTCTCCTCGCCGAAGCGCTCAGGGGCAACGATACTGTCGGGGCGCTGAAGAAGGAACCCTTTTCGTTGGGGAGGGGCTCGGTGTTCCTTGATCGTTTCTCAGTTCTCCCCAGGTTTTCCTGGGGCTTCCCATGGGACATCGAAGCTTAACCTATGGGGGAAAAGGGGCCTCGTTCCTTGTCTAGGGTTCCTTAGGTCAGCGCCCCGACTGTAGGGGGGGGGATTGGCTCAGGGGGGAACGCATCGGCACCAGTCGCCCATTGATCGCCGACAGGGGTTCGCCAGCCCACCCCGCCCGGGAGCGTGCGGTTTCGCTGCCGGCGGTCTGTCGCCACTCTGTCGGCGAGGTGTCGCCGGTTCCAGGCAGACGTCCCACCCCCCTGAGACGGCCCCCCCCCCGACAGCCGTGCTCTGGCCTCGGCAGGGTGCTGTCGCCTTGCCGCGGGCAGGGCTCCTGCCATGCGCCGGGGGCTCTCGCCTTCCCGCGTGGCGCGGGGGGGGGTGGGAGGGAGCGGGCACTGCTCGCTGCACCAGCCATTCGTCGCATCACTAACAATAGCTCCAGCGAGAGCGCTAGCAGCACCATCATCAAGCAGCTGTACAATCGCATGGCGCCAACATCGTAGAGCGGATTTCGTTCGGCAAACGATCGGATTGGCCCGGAGTGTCCTGCAGATTTTCGTTCCGAATTTCGATGTGAATGACGTTTTTTTTTTTTTTTTTTTTTGTTTTTTTTTTTTTTTTTTTTTTTTTTTTTTTTTTTTAGGAATGAAAACTAAAACAAGTCCACGCGAAATTCATATTGTTTTTTTTTTGCTCGCTGTTTCGGGGTTTTGCATTGGCAGAGAAATCCACGCTCAAATCCGCTGCAGCACGTCTGCAAGGTCGGTGCAGTGAACAGTCGGGCCGCTGAAGAAGGAACCCTTTTCGTTAAGGAGGGCTCATTGGGGAGGTTTGTTTCACAGTTCGTCTTAGGTGTTCCTCAGGTTTCCCATGGGACATCGAAGTCTAACTCATTGCAACAAGGAGCCTCGCTCCTCATTCAGGGTTCCTTATGACAGCGTTTCGACTGTGTCTTCACTGTCAGCAGCCGCAGCGTCACCGCTGCCAGGAGCAGTTGAGGACGCACCCCTAACGCAACAGCGGCGCATGCGGGCGCCGCCGCTGATCGCAGCGGCAGTGCCACGCCTCGCCAGAGCCAGCTTGATGCAGAGCCACGGCGGGAGGCCGCCCGTGTGTCTGTCGGTCGGCTCTCGGTCTCCCTCTCCTGCCCTCCCTGCCCCTGTTCGGCGTCCGTCCCCTTCCCCTTTCCCTCCTCGCTTCCCCGGAGTCTCTGTGGTTCTCCTCTTTGCTGCCTCCCCCGTCGTTGCTTGTCTTGCCCTTTGAATCTCTCCACCATCACTTTCCCCCTCACTCCTCGTCCTGCTCGCTCTCCATCTCCTTGGCCTCCTCGCGCTGCGTTTCTTTTCATTCCTCTGTCTCCTTCCTGGCTGTGCTAATCGCCATCCTCCTTCTCGTTATTTGCTCATCCTCACGCCGCCTCCTCACTCCTTATCCTTGCACTCCGTCTCTGCCTCCTTCCCTTTCCCCATGGGGAATACGTCGAGATATTCGGGGGCCCACGTCTCGCAACCCGCCGAGCCGCCGAATGTCCGTGTACCGAGGTATTCCAGCATCCGCGATCTCATCCTTGGTGGCTTGCGCCCCAGGTCCGCAGGCCCCCTTGAGCTGAGGAGCGGGAAGCCAGAGGAGCAGTAACCCTGGATATGGTCCAGGTCGCCCCAAGGGGGTCGGAGTAGATGGGGTCGGAGGATCGCACTGCATCGCCGATGCATCGCCGAGGTGGCGCGATCCGTGGACTGTTGTTGTGCTTCCCGACGTCGCCGATGCACCCGCGATGCGGTGCGATCCGCCGACCATATCTACTCTGGCCCTATGTGGACGTCTTACATGTGACAGCCGTTGAGACGTCGTGGCGTTCTGGGGGCGGGTGAGGAAACGGTGGCCAGCATTGAGGTTCTGAACAATCACCCGCACGTAGCCTTTAATGTTTCTCGCGGGTCCCCCTTCGGCGGCGCGTGGAACGCCGCGAACCCAGTGGATCCTTGTCCATGCGGCGCACCACTTGCCGCGATCCCTCACCAGGTCCAGGGTCCATGCCGATCCGATCTTTCCAATTTGGTATCGATTCCCGCTGGCCCGATCCGATTCGATTCCGTTGTTCCCACGATCCATTGCAGCCGTATGCTTGCATGAGGCTGTTGTGCATGCTCCGACTCCGTGCCGATGCGGCCCGATCCGACGCGCGTTCCGATCCGCCGTTCCGACCCGCCGACCCGATCTTGCGATCCCATGCTGGCCGAGCTTGCCCCCCTCCTCGCGCCCCTCTTGGGTGCACCTAACGTTCCCGACCCCAGAGGTCTGGGCCCCTCCCTCGGGTCAGCCTGTCGCCCGAGGTCCGGGCCCCCGGGCGGCCGAAGAGGTTTGGACACACGCCGCCCGTCGTGCTCTCGTCAAGGCGCGAGGGGGCCTCGCAGGGCTTAGGCGGCCCCTCATGGGCTGGGCTGGGTGGCCTGCACCAGCCGTCTCGGTTCGCCTCAGATCTGCCCAGAGCGTTTTTTGTCAGCGTTTTCAGCTCGGCGTCTCGGACATCATGTTCTGGGCGTTTTCAGGTCTCACACCAAAGAACCAAAAACGCGAACACAACTGATGCGTTGTTTTAGCGCTTTCAGTTCGCTGTTCTAGCGTTGTCAGCCAGAAACCGCAGCAAACACGCAAAACAACGCCACAACAACAGTCCTGAAAACGCAAACACACAGAACGTTGTCAGAATGAGCGTTTTTATTTGTTAGCGTCTTCAGCCTGTCAAGAGCCCAAATTAGACAACGCTAAAAAAAACCCAGGGCGCTTTTAAGGCGAACCAAGGTGCACAGGTCAGCACGAAAGGGGGCAGCAGCCGCGGGCGGCGGGCGAGCGGCGCGCCGCTGGCGCCCGGGCGCTGCAGGCACCCCCACCCCTCGCTCGAGTCTCGTTCTCCATGGGGGTTTCAGAGGGCCCACGAACTCCTTGCGGGTTTCGAGCATGGCGTCCAGCTCTGGTCAGAAGTTTTTTTCGAAAGCTCTAAGCCTCCTGGATGGGGTCGGAGCATCGCGCCGCATCGCCGATGCATTGCCGATGCGGCTCGATGCGGAGCCCGATTTGCTTCACGTCGACGTCGCCGATTCATCGCCCATGCCGCCGATGCATCGCTGGTGCAGCGCCGATGCATCGCCGATGCATCGCCGATGCCGGGGCACCCCACCGACGGGTGGCAGAAGGGCACCAGGCCGAGGGCGCGGCGTGCGCAGGGCGAAGGGGCTCCGAGGAGAGCGCACTTAGGACTGGCCGGGGGCCCTGCTGAGTGAGTCTTCGTGGGAGCCTCCCCCCAGGGATCTCGAGAGAATGCACGCCTGGGTCAGTCGGGCTTTGCAGGATCCTGCAAGATCCTGCAGGATCCTGCGCCAAAGCCCAGGTCAATGCGCCCCTGGCCCTGGCCCCTGTCCCTGCTCTCTGGCTGACCCCCGTCTGCATTGACCCCCGTCTGCATTGACCCCCGTCTCTTGAGCCCCGAACGTTGATCTAGGCCTCTCAGATGGGGTCGGAGTAGATGGGGTCGGAGGATCGCGCGGTATCGCCGATGCATCGGCGATGCGGCTCGATTCCGAGCCCGATGTGCTTCACGTCGACGTCGCCGATGCATCTCCGGCGTCGCTGGTGCATCGCCAATGCATCGCCGATGCATCGGCGATGCATCGGTGATGCATCGGCGATGCATCGGCGATGCGGCGAGATCCTCCGACCCCATCCAGGAGGCCTCTATAGTGGAGGGCTGGGCCATGCAGCGCACCCCCCGTCGCGATCTCCCCCACCCGGGCCTCGGAGCTGCCCCCGCCCAGGGCAGTGCGCGCTCGCCTCGGAGGCCCCCTCGCCCCGCTTCGGTGGCAGCTCACGGGAGCCTCGTGTGTCCTCGGAGTGCCGCTCTTGGAGTTCACCAGCGTGCGCCAGTGTCCGGTAATCGATGAGAGAGCGCCGACTCAGCGTCGAGCATAGCCTGGATCCAGCGTCGATTGGCGTCGATCGGCTCCGACTCGCGTCGATCAGCGTCGATTCGCAGGAGCTAAGATAACACGGACGGCAAGCAATCAAACAAATGACACGGGCGGCTCCCATGATCGGCGGCAGGCTCGGGGGGGAAGTGAGAGGGGGCGGGCCTTCTCAGAAGGCTTTGAAGGCCTCGGGCCTTCTGACAAGGTCGCTGAGCCTTTCCTGGAGACGGGGAAGGCTTCTCGGAAGGCCAGCGGGCTTCTGAGAAGCTCCGCCGCATTCTAAGAGGGTCTCCTCCTCCTCTTCCTCCTCCTCCTCCTCCTCGCTCCCCCCCGTTTCGCTCGCCGCCTACATTCTAGGCCTATGCATCGCCGATGCGTCGACGATAACGTCGCCGATGTGGAGCAGGAGGAGGAGGAGGAGGAGGAGGAGGAGGAGGAGGAGGAGGAGGAGGAGGAGGACGAGGAGGAGGAGGAGGAGGAGGAGGAGGAGGAGCCATCCTCAGACTCCATTCGCTTCGACCCCATCTGGGAGGCCTCTTTGCGTGAGCTGCCGCAGGAACCTGCGCGCGCCGTGCCCTCGGCCTGGGCCCCCTCCTGCCCGCCCTCTCGGCGGGGGGCCCCCGCCCACGCGCCCCGCGCCAGCCTTCAGTCGGGCACGTCCCTCTACAGGGGGAATACTCAAACATAGCCAAGGCATAATCACACAATGATCAAAACTATTCAGAAATAGTTAGAAGTATAGTCAGGGATGATTTTTGCATATTTTCGCATCTTTCGTCCCAACTCCGCCTGTCGGAGGACCCCGCACCGCCTCGCCCGCCCGCTGCCTCCCGGGGCGTGCTGGGGCCCGCAGCTCGCCCCTGGGGCCGCAACGCCAGGGCTGTGGGCACCGACCTTCCCATCATCGATAGCAAAGGAACTCCAACAGTACGCCGAGGACGCGGCCGTCTTCCCATCAGGGATGACAGTTCTGGGCGGATTGGTCTGTCCCCTGTCCCCTGTCCCCGGACGTTTTGGTCACGCAGGAAAGGCCCCCCTGTCCCTAATGTTTTGAGCCCTCCTAACTTCGGTCCCCTCCTCAAGGCTCAGGGGTGCTTTGATTGCTCATCATCCCACGCAGATCGGGCGACGAGATCTGCCGTCGAGCTTGCTGAGCAGGTCGGCCATGCCCCAGATAGAGGGTGCCCTGGTGTCCTGCCTCTCCCGACCTGTGCAACCCGCATGTCCTGAGGTGCTCTGGGGCAACGTTGCCGTCGGCAGAGTCCTGTGTCCTCTCCCGCGTCCTCTCCCATCCAGTCCGACCGTATACTTAAGTCGGGCCTGTCCCTCTACAGTCGGAATATTCCAAAGCTGAAAAAACTTGTTTGGGGACGATTCTGGACAATTTTTGGCATTTTTTTTTTTTTTTTTTTTTTTTTTTTTTGTTTTTTTTTCTCTCTCTCTCTCTCTCTTTTACTGCTTTACATTTTTTCGTCCATGATCCGCCTGTAGGGTGACACGCCCGACCGAACCGTATGCACGTCCACAGCTCCAGGCCAAGCCCATCCTGGGCACGGCAGCGGTGCATCTGCCTGACCTGGCCGAGCCTGGTGGGCGTAACCCGCCTCTCCGTGGGCCCAGGGTAGGCCTGGCCAGAAGCAGTGGATCGGAGGCTCGGGTTAAGTCGGGCCTGTCCCTCTACAGGAGGAATATTCCAGAAGAGTGCAACAAAAATGGAGACGATTGTTTGACCATTCTTGATTATTACCTAACAGCGAAGACTGATAGGTTTCTAGTAGGGTCAAAAGAGAGAGAGCATCATGGGACAGGGTGCCCCGGGAAACCGGTGACTCCATTTTTAGCCAACAGTAACGCACTTCGTGGTCTTCGAGTTCCCAGAACTCCATTCCTGGGCATAATTTTGAATGCCCGGAGCCAACTGTAGGCCACTTCGTGGCTTTCGAGTTCCCAGAACTTTATTCCTGGGCATGATTTTGAATGCCCGGAGCCAACTGCAGGCCACTTCGTGTTCTTCGAGTTCCCAGAACTGCATTCCTGGGCCACATTTTGAATGCTGAGGCAGGCTGAGGCTGAGGCTGAGGCAGGCTGAAGGCAGACTGAGGCTGAAGCTGAAGCAGGCCGAGGCTGAGGCCGAGGCAGGCTGAGGCTCTGGGCATGATTTTGAATGCCCGGAGCCAGCTGTAGGCCACTTCGTGGTCTTCCAGTTCCCAAGACTCCATTCCTGGGCGTGATTTTGAATGCCCGGAGCCAACTGCAGGCCACTTCGTGTTCTTCGAGTTCCCAGAACTCCATTCCCGGGGCCAGTTTTGAATGCTGAGGCAGGCTGAGGCTGAGGCTGAGGCAGGCTGAAGGCAGGCTGAGGCTGAAGCTGAAGCAGGCCGAGGCTGATGCCGAGGCAGGCTGAGGCTGAGGCTGAGGCAGGCTGAGGCCGAGGCTGAGACAGACTGAGGCTGAGGCTGAAGCAGGCTGAGGCTGAGGCTGAGGCAGGCTGAGGCTGAGGCTGAGGCAGGCTGAGGCTGAGGCAGGCTGAGGCTGAGGCAGGCTGAGGCTGAGGCTGAGGCTGAGTCAGGCTGAGGCTGAGGCAGGCTGAGGCTGAGGCCGAGGCTGAAGG